CGCGGACCAGCCGGACGCCCCTGCCCTGCCCTGCCCTGCCCTGCCCCGCCCCGGGAGCTGCCCCGGGGGTGCCGGGCTCGCCCCCCGGCAGGCGGGACTGGACGGACGGGAAGAGCGACCGCGGGTCGCCGCCGCCTGGCGCCCAGCGCAGCCCCCTCGCCGGAGGAGCAGTTGTCCCCGAATCGGACAACAGTCGGGCTGGAAGGGACCTCGGCAGGACGTCACGTCCGTCCAGCCCCTGCCCAGACGGGACCAGCCCCAGCCATGTCGATCCCCGTGTAGAACGGGCTGCGAGACCCCTGCGGCTTGGCTGCAGCGGATCAGGACGTGCAGACAAAGCTAAGGGGTGTGGGGAGGTCACTCACTTTGCAATAAGCAGCCCGGGGTTAGTCATTCCCTCCTTGTTTTGCCACCATTGCACGGGGCAGAAACTAGTCTCTTCTGCTTCTCCCTATTCATTGCTGCTGTCTCCATCTGCTACCAGCTGCTCTGCTGTCCCGGCTAAGGTAACTGCATGTATCACAGAAAAAATATGCCCAAAACCACCTGCTGACTCTATCACATTCACTACAGCAGTGATGCCCAATCTTCCAGCCCCACAGGCCAGATCCAGCATGGGGTCAGCATTTGGGGTCAGTCCACGGGTGCAATAGAGCATGCCAGCCCAGCCCTGCTCACTGGATCTGGACACAGGGATAACCCGCACATTGGCCCGGGCTCCACGCACCAGGTCTGACCATAGGGCCACCCTGTGCACTGGCACCATCTGGTACCTGGGGCCATGTCCTCTGATCAGCAGGGCTCCCCACCGCTGGAGGATGGCCCTGCAGGGAGGATTCAGCCTGCGTACCAGAGGTTAAGCACCACCACACTAAATTTTCAAAGCACCTAATAGTTGTCAGCACATAACAGAGACTTGCACAGGATCTAGTTTCCTCTCCTTCTTCCCCAAAAACTAGAGTAGGAAGATGTGTTATGGCTGTGGACAGACATGCACGTGAAGCACTTCAAATCCCACCATGAGAAAAGTGCTCCTCATTTGGAGTGCTTCAGTACTTTACAAATGTAGAAGCCCCTCACAGCTAAAGCATCATGTAGTGTGAGCCTATTGTATCCCCTCACAGTGAGGGCGCTATCGAGCAGGTATCCTAGCACACCTCTGGGCAGTGGAGTTGGGAGTGAATCGCAGAGGGGCCACCAAGGGGTGCGGGTACGGTGGGAAAGGAACGCTGCAAGATGCATCTACCAGACTTGGTTAAAGGGAACACATGCAACAGGAAGCACTTCATGTTTCATCCACTGTCATTTTTTATATGGTTTGGGTTATTAGTATTGCTTCAACATTGTGTGCTGTCTGCACCCTCACATTTTTTAAAAATACTTGGGGCACTACAAATACAGCATCTAGCCATGCCCTAAACTCCCTTGCTATGCTAGGATAGGCCCTATTAGATTGATCTTAGCCTGAGCTGCACCGAGTCCAGACCAGCAGGACTATGTCATTTAAACAGCCTGGCAAATCCAGACTGTGTCCGCTCCATAACAGATTTGGCCATTTCCCACTGTGAGGGTTTTTTCACTCTCTTTACTGTATTTAGACTGGTTTGACAGCCTTTGTGAGAGTAGTGTTAGACCAGGAAAACAGAGCCAGTGCGGTTTTATCAGAAGTCATACACAGAGGTGCTGGAAGTCCTGGGGAAGCTGAGGGAAATGTCTATGAGATGAACGTCAACTAGCAAAATCCAGAATAGTTATTGGGGCACATTATTGACGGAAAGAGTTAATGCTTCCCTCTCAGACTGCAAGATGTTAAGCATCCTGAAGAAACAATTAGGACCTCTTCAAGAAACAGTCATTTATTGTTAATGAATTGCCCGATACCACATTGTGCTCTTTACTGGAGAGCTCCGTGTTCACCCGGATTCTCCTGTCTCTTAGATCGGTTGGATCTCTTCCAGCCTGGGGTCAGACCTTGCTAGAAATGGAGATAGCATTACTAACCTTAGCTGATACTCTCTTTTCTTCAAGCAGTGGATGGTTAAAATACAAACTGAGTGTCATTTCAGTAGCTTTGTCAGCAGCCTCAGATGTGGCTGACTTGCAGAAATGAACAGGGTTGTTCTTTACTGGCTCCAGGCTTTCCTTTGGAGAAGTCTGAAAAGGTGGTATTGAATAGCTGCTGCTTATATAGGGTCCTGCAGGGCTGCATGCCACCACACCACTTTCCTGGTGCCTATGGAATCCTGCAGAAGCAGCGGCTTGCCAGCAATTTTCAGTCTGCTACCTGTATTTCATCAGATCTGGACAGCACTTTCCCTGCTGCCTGGCTGATAACTGTGGAAGGGACTCATTTGATACTGACTGACAGGGGAAAGTAACTTGATAAATGAATGGAAGTTGTACCTGCTCCATCTATTACAGGCCTGTGTCTGAGCTGACAATCCTGAAGTGACTTTTATGCCCCCAAGGGGCCTTGGATTCTCAGGTAGCAATGATGGCTCATTTTCCTTCAGATAACAGAAGAGGCTGGATTTCCCTGTTGACTGACCTCACAGCAAATAGCCTGGCCCTTATCAATGAAAGCCCGGCTACAATATGCTATACATGAAACTGTACTTGGAGACTATTCTGAAGCTTTAACTACTGAGTGGTGGAACAAGTCAGGAGGAGCATTGTAGGTGACAGGTGACTCACCTACAGCTCATTCCTCGCAGATGGGCATGACCTCACAGGCTTTTGCCCTCACCTGTGCAAGATCTCTCAGTCTTGCGGCAGTTTGTACGTTCTGTTATTCAGCGCTACAGGCAGGTCGTGTTTACTTCCACCAGCATTTCAGTATCCTTAAACTCTTCCAGCGAAGTCCAAACAATACTGGCCCTTGCCACCACACATTATTTTCCCTTTCTCCACTTTCACTCTTCTTTTCCAAGAAAGATAACTCAGAGCTTCTTCATGGACTCCTCATCACTGTTTAAGCAAAACCCCAAATGAATTAAACCAAGCCACCCCCATTTTTCTTTCAGAATATCAACTTACAAAGCTGCCTTACTCGAGCTAACTTGCCTTTTTCCCCCCAGCACAGCCACCAATTTCATACTCATCTCTTAACACAAAGCTCCCACAGCTTCTTTTCAAATGAAAGAAAACTACTCTGTAGGTACACCCAAGAAGCTTAGTCATCTTGAGGTTTGGCCTTGAGGGTCACTGGAGTTCCAGTTAATCCCCCCTCTGTCAGTATGTGATTTCTACAACCCAGAGCGCTTCTACAACTAATTTGCTGTGCAGTAAAGCATCACCATCTACACAAGTGGCAATTAGGGTGCAGTAAACTAATTTCATCCCATCAGATACAAGTGGTATCCAGCAGCGCAGAAAATTACTGCATTTAAACACGTGTACATAGTAACATCAGGATTAGTTTACTCCAGCTCAAAATGAAGCAGAGTATAGTCAGTCACATTATTTGCATATGTAGACACACCCCCATTGCATCATATTGTGCGGGTACTACCTTCTCATCTGCTTTCAGGAGTAGTTCATGGTGTTGACTCTGGAGTCATGGCTGGGAGAGTGTGAGAAGGAAGAAGGCAGAAAAGCAAAGGTCACTATAATTACTTGGAAAAAATATTTCCCTTCCTTTTTATCAAAGATCTGTAAGCATTTTACAAACTTGAATTACTTCAAATCTCAGAGGCCCTCTTTGAGTTTGTATTAAATCCATTTTACAGCTGGGAGACAAGTGTTACATGTTAGTTATATGCTTTGCCTGGAGCTACACAATGACTCTGGTAGAAACAGGACTAAAAGCCAGGAGTCCTTTAATTGCCTGCTCTAAACACCAAGCATGCTCCTCTCCAGCCCTGATGTTTGCTTAGCCCAGAATATATTTGTTACTGAAAGAGAATGAACATGTATGTTGTCATCTCACTAAGCTAGCAAATGCTGAAGGTTTGGCTATTTCTGAATAACTTTGTGGATTCTTGACTCTGAAACAACTGAGTAAACAACAAAGGCACAAGGGCCACATGATGGACTGTAAAGGAGAAGGGGGCTATTGCCCTTCAGCTGGCTCTTCACTCATAATTGCACTGTCTATAAAGATGTATGTTGACTATAAAAAGCCAACATCTTACTGGATTGTATTAACAGGAATGTCACTGCAAATCAAGGGAAGTGATTCTCTTTTGGGCAGTGGTGAGACCTGGAGTCTCACCTGGAGTACTGTGGAGTACTGTGTCCAGTTTTGGGCCCCACGCTTCAAGTAAGATGTAGATAAATTCGAAAGAGTCCAGCTGATCTAAATGATTAGATGCCTGGGAAACATGATTTATGAGGAAAGGCTGAAAGAACAGGGATTATTTATTCTGGAGAAGAGAAGACTGAGCGGTGTGGGATTTGATAAGTGTCCTCAAATACCTGTAGCAAGATTACAGAGTGGATGAAGACAGACTACTCTCTGTGGATTTAGGGGACAGAACTAGAACCAATGGCCT